TATATATATATATATATATATATATATATATATATATATATATATATATATATACGAGTATATGAATGCAAGTGTGTGTGCTACGTTGTCATTTCAATTTTCTTACACATAGGCGTTTACGTAAATGTAAATGCCATATTCGCATTCGTTGCCGATATTCGCATTCTCTCCGAAATAGGCTTTCGCTGCTTTTCTGATGAATTCTTCAAACCGCCTGTGTATTGGGTGAATCAAAGAAAGAGTTTTTTTTAGAGAAGTTCTACGCATAAATGCAGTTTACGAATATTGTTTTGAAGAATATGTTATCTAATATGTGAGCTTTCTATATAATTTGCAATGAAATTTTAGATATTATTTTAGTTATGCACTGAGCAATGTTTCACTATATTTTCGCACGTAATTTTATCTTATAAATTGGAACAATAAGTGCGCTGTAATTTTTGCAAAAGGAAATCAGTGTCACGATGGCATAAGTTCCACATCGTTTTCATTTCTGAGTGAGAAATGATCTACTTCATTTTTGCATATATTTTCACTATACAAAAGCATTTTAATTCGGTCAAGTCAATACAAAGTAGTATTTGTAGGAAAATTTCGTTGACGTGATATCGACATCCTTGCAAAACTTTCGTCGTGCTGATTGTACTAAATCAAAAACTCTTTGACATGGTGAAAATACGTGCAAAAATAAAGCGAAGCATTCCTCAATATGAGAGGAAAACGATAAGAAAATGCTATCATAGCAAAATTACAGAATTCTTCTGCAAATATTACTTCTTTCTATATGCGCTGAGTTAAAAATCCTTTTACATGATGAAAGTATGTGCGTAAATGAAGCGGAGCTGAATCTCATATTGAGATTCCTCAATATGAGAGGAAAACGATAAGGAATGATTACTATCATGACACCGAATCTTTCTGTAAAGATTAGTCTTTTCTACATGCGCCGAGTTAAAAACCTTTTTGTATGGTGAAAGTACGTGCGAAAATGAAGCGGGGCATTCCTTAATAGGAAAACGATAAGAGACAGTTACTATCATGACACTGAATCTTTCTGCAAAGATTAGTTCTCTCTACATGCGTATTGACTTGATCGAATTAAAAATGCTTTTGTATGGTGAAGGTACATGCAAAAATGAAATAGAGCATTCCTCACTCAGGGATGAAAACGATGTAGAACTATTGCTATCGTGACACTAATTTCCTTATACAAAAATTAAAGCGCAATTATTGCTCCAATTTATATAATAAAATTGGGTGCGAATATATAGTGAAATATTGAATTTTAATTTTCATTGAAAATTATATAGAAAGCTCATATATTAGATAACATGTATTCTTCAAAACAATATTCGTAAATTACTCTAATGCGTATAACATATTTCTCGAAAAAACTCTTTCTTTGATGCACCCACACTGAGAGAAAAATGTATGATATTTGGAACTATAATGGCATAGTAAAAAGATTATAGTTAGGAATATAATTTTTATAGTAAATGTTACCATAATATTTGTAATATTTACAATATAAGCATAACTGACCCGTGTAAAATTTTTACCAAAAATTAAAATTATTTGAAATAAAAAATATAGTAATAAAGTGGCAAATATTGAATGGTAAGAGAAATTAACTATTTTATATAGTCAATGCAATTGGAATATTTGGAAAATATAGGTACATATAACTATATTCCCAAAAGGTGCTTTATCATACATATAGAATAATAAGATGATGACTATAAATCTGTGTTCATTCTACTATATCTTCATGTTTAGGTAAACTATAAATATATGTTTGAGGCCAAAACGAACTATAAAATATAGTGAGATTATAGTTATTCCAATTATTTTTTTCTCTCAATGCAGTACATAAGCGGTTTGAAGAATTCACCAGAAAAGCAGCGAAAGGCTCTCTTGGAGAGAATATCGGCAACGTGATATTCACATTTACGTACCGTCTATATGTAAGAAAATTGAAATGACAACGTAGCACACATACTTGCATAACATCTGTGAAGGAACGATATATGAAAAAATGCTGCGGCGCAACAGTAGCGCGACATGTTCACGCTTATCAAATATGACATTTTGACGATCGTCTTCGTTCCGTATAAATATATATATAGCTAGCTCAAGATGCAGCGCTTTCTTCTAGGACATAAAAACGTGAACTAAAAATTTTTTAAAGTCTTCTTTACTACGTAACCATTAAACGCTAGCACACATATTGTTTATTACTGGAATTCTCTTTTTATTTAAATTAAAATTAAATTACTATTAAAATTCACTTACGATGTCTTCGTAATGTTCCTGAAAGTCTTCTCTATGCCGCATACTATGTATTTGAAGCGTATGAGCTCTAAATTTGTCACATGAAACTAAATATGACACCTGCATCGCATTTTCAATAGTAAATACAAAATTTTTTGTTGATTTCGATGCAACTTTTTAGTATGCGGCATTCATTATCGCTTATACTTTCACGCCATAAAAGCATTTGCAGTTTTATGCATACAATTAGAAGAAAAGAGTATTCTACGAAAACGAGCCTAGCAGCATCGCCTTAACATTTAACGAGTTATATAATCGCACTGCAAATCTATTTTATAACGACAATGACATTAGTATGATGTGTTGTTGCACAGCTTTTCTACTATGTATTATACTTGCGCAACGACAACGTAACAATAACGACACTAACGATGACTTTAACGACGACACACAGTGGTCTAGATTTCGAAAAAGGTGGCCAAAAATGCAAAAAATGAAAGTCATAATTATAATTATGAGTTTTGTATCATAGAATCTTGTAGAGAGGGTATTACTGCATGTTATTCCAAAGGGAAAGTGGGGATCCTTTAATATCTGCGATGCTACGTTGTTTCGAAGTGACAGCTCTCGGAGCTTAGTCTCGCTTCGCGCGTCAAAAATATTTAAGTTTTTCAAGTACGTATAACTTTTTATTGGAGTGTCTTTTTTCAATTTTGCTTGATGGAGGATATCAACAAAGATATGTAGAACATTCGTATATATTACGTCTTCATAAATACATATTCAGCGTGTATTAAAAATCATGTCAAAGACGTGCCTGCGCTATTGCTTCTCTTATAAAAACTTTTACTGTAAATCATCGAAAAAGTTATCACATTACGGGGAGCTGCGAAATTGTTACATGGAGCATAAAAGTTAAGATGTTTTGTAGTGAAATTTTGAAGAAAATTTTGCCCGTCACTGCCCCTATCATTGTGAGGCTATTTTGAATACAGCGGCGCCGAGCTAGCTGTACGGTTAGGCTCGATGCACGTAGAGGGGTCGGGGACTACCTGTTCTTGAAAGATCAATAATAAAGATCTGATTTTTCAATAAGATAATTTAAATGTATATATCGTGTGTCTCTTATTTTAACATATAAGACAATTTGAATGCATATACTGGAGGTATATGCATATACTTATTTTAATATATCGTTGAATTTTCATATATTTTTGCAATTAAAAATAAATAAAAAGTAAGAATATATAATGCTTATAAGCCTTAGAGCTTTTAATTTTCCTTGATAAGTCTGACAATTCTTTAGAAATTTTTGATAATCATGATTCTGATTTTGACTTTGAAGACTAATTTTTTAAACTCGATGTATTTATTGCATAATAAAATTTAGTTGTCTATCGCACAATAACTGTTACTCTGCAAAAATTTTGGAAATAAAAATCAATCAAATCACATACGCTGTTCTTAATTTCGCAATTGTAATCTTAATCTTGTAATCATAATTAGCAACTTTAAATATCCTTATACACCAATTTAGATGAAATTCCGAATAATTGTTTAGCCATATTGAATCCGCCATTTTGAATTTTAATATTTTCATACCAAATTCG